GGAAATTACATTCGTGCTAGAACTGATGATGTATAAATTAAAAATAAATTTAAGAACTTTCAAACGTTTCGGAACTAGAAAGAGCGTTTATTTTTTTTTTTAATTAGAGTATCGATCGACGATGTAGGTACTACTAATACTCTATGTTCTTTTACCCGTAACTACCCTTATGTTCATTTCCTTTTCAGCAAATAAGTTATGCCACATTTTTTGTGGGTACGAGTGCCAAAAAATGAGGGACAAGAATGAAGCATCATCAACTTCAAGCAGACATTCATTACAAAGACATAGCAATGTTATTGAACCGAGAAATTCCTTAGCAGCCATTGTCGCATAACTGATTGTCGTCTGCCCAAAGCTCAGCGCCGAGTAGCCAGACAAGTCGGCTGGCGAGACGACGCAGTCAGAATATACGTTGATCAGCAAGATTTTTCGTCGACGACTCGCTGTTTTGTTGCATGCCTTACGAGCATCAGTTATAAAGACGTCTGCTGAACATTAATGTAAGTGGCGGCGCTCGGGCGACTGTCTCTACATATGCAGGTATACGCGTTCATACCTGCATGCGCTCCAGAGTCTGCATTCCGCAGTTTATTGTGGGCTTAACATTCCTGTGTTGGCATTCCGGGAGTGACGGCTGCGGCTTATACATGCGGCGCACGCTTAGCTTTACTTGTTTTCAGTGCACCATGAAGTTAGGAGAAAATTATTACTCCCTTGTGCGGCGAACTGGTTTGAAGATTGACATCATCTTCACATGAAAGACGAATTAAACGAATTAAATTGAACGAATCATTCATCTTCACATGAAAGACGAACAAAAGGAATTAAATTAAATGAACATAATTAAACGAATTAATCATCTTCACATGAAAGAATTAAACAACCCGTCCAGCATTGACCGCTACCTAATTAGTAAAAGTCATTATAAAAGAACGAAGCTCCTGCTCAGTAATGTGCTTTAAGGCAAGACGAAATATTTTATTTTTCGAAAAATGAGCTTTCAAAATACCAGGCAACAATTAACTTTCGCCTGACTAAAAAATATTTCTAAAACGATGATATTATGCCTGCCTAGACTGTTGTTTAACTGCGAAGTGAAGCATTCATTTTTATCCTTGCTGAAATTTTTAAATGTTCTAATCGGCTCTTTGATAAAATTTTTGCATGTTCTTCTAATCGGCTCTCTAAATGTTGCATAGAAAAGATAAAAAAAAAACAATAATAATATTTATCACAGGGCATCGTACAAAACTATGTATTATAATTTTTCCTAACTCGAATTTAAAGTGGTATTTCGGGACAATTCACCGAGCTATAAATATTTCCGTTGCAAACATATTACTATACAGCTTTTCTCGACAGTATTTCTGCATGTTGCTTGAAAAAAAAGTATTACCGCAAACATATTACTATACAGTTTTTCTCGTCAGTATATCTGCATGTTACTTGAATAAAAGTACTACCACAAACATATTACTATACAGTTTTTCTTGTCAGTATTTCTGCATGTTGCTTGAATAAAAGTATTACCGCAAACATATTACTATACAGCTTTTTTCGTCAGTATTTCTGCATGTTGCTTGAATAAAAGTATTACCGCAAACATATTACTATACAGCTTTTTTCGTCAGAATTTCTGCATGTTGCTTGAATTAAAGTATTACCACAGTGGCAGCAGCGCACGCAAGATTAACCGAGTCGTCAACAGTGCCAGCTTGCCGTCCTATACGTGAACTGATCAAAGCTGAGTGCTGACATGAAGTCTTTACCGAGAACGCCCGACTCAGAAATCCCCGCAGAAATTAACTGTAGAATTCACGTGAATTGAATTTTCGTTGCTACAGACGGCAAGTATTAGGTTGTGGTCGTGCCCAGGAAGCGGGGCTATTGCATAGGCTATTATTAGTTAGGGAACTCCGCGGAAACGTGACGTCAAACGCGAGCTGTTCTTGGCACCGCTGAGATCTTCAAGAGAGTGAAATGCACGTACCGAACATTGTTTTACCGTCACATGCTCGAAATGTTGCGCTGCAGAAAACAAAGACTACTCAGGAAAGCTCGGCCTCAGTTTTTTTGGCAAGGATGCACTTATATTTTTTCAAGCAAACAACGGGTTAGAAGTTTTTATATGCATGGTAATTAACACGTTCGATTTCCATTACGTCGTCACGAACCCAAGCAAGACTTTAAAGTTGCACCGTACAGCGTGGTCTAGCTATATCTGTTCATAGACCACAAGGAGATCCTGAAGATACGTTATCTTAGGCAAATCATTTGTATATTGACCACACAGGAAATAATTATTGCGTTTCAAATTTAATACCTTCATGGGTTTAATTCTGCATCATTTTATCTGAATTTTACAACAGTGTATGGACTACATTGTACGTCAGCTCATTATGCATTGACTCTATAACCTCTGACATGATGCAAAGCAGTAAAAAAAAAACAGTACAACGCAATCGTCCGAAAATACTGGGATTACCACGACTTAAAGTGCATGATTAAAGTGCACGTTATCAATGCAGTGAAGTGAGTGAACTACGAAATAAAAGTTAGCCGGCGTCCTGTTTTATGACGGCGCCAATAGTGCGCTAATGATTTGATTTAGTGGCAAAAGGAAAAAAATAATTCTAATCCTTTCTTAGAAGAGATATAACATTATAACATAAAATAGTGATCTCGTCGCTGCAGTGTAGGCCTGATGTGGACTGTCGCCGATTCTGGGCATTGTAATTCATTGTATTGAATTCGATTCATTGCATGTATGGCATGGAAGAAATTGAGAAATAAATATTTGCCAGTAATATTGCAACATATTGTGATTAATAGGTTATTATGATCAATAGGAAGTAAAACCATATTGTCATAGATTTTATACTCGTAGTTATGCTTAAAACGTCCCTTCCACAACATGCATGTAAACTGTTCTTGAGTGATATGAACATGATGTGGCCAAGTTGGTGACAACAAGTAGTGTTATTTTTGTCTGTTTCGGGCGTCCAACATATATTCAAGTGTATCTAAAATACATACGTGAAATGAATATTTAACGTAGATAAAATTTACGAGTTACAAGTTTGTGAGTGGAGGAATTTGACTAATGGAACGCGGGGCACTTAACAGTTGAATTAGATCTGACTGATAAATCTATCGTTCCAATAAATGTTGACCTCTGATGGTTTCGTTCGTACTCGTCTGTTGCAGACATCATTGCTTTAAATGTATAAGCAGCAACAGGGATTTCCTTGCATCTGAGTCACGAGTTGTTTACTCGCACTGTTGATGGCCGCTTTGAAGATGAGGCTTATAAACGAGCTGACTCCGTTTGCTGCTTGGCTCATCTCTCAAGCTTAGAATTGCGGTAAATATAAAAGTTATATAGGGGAGAAACTGAAGCGATGGTTTCCTCTAATAGCTTTCAAAAATAATAATTAGTGTATCAATTTGGAAAGCATTGCCAATGCGAATTTAAAATTAGGAGGATTGATTGAAAAATTGAATTCTACCAACCCTAAACCAAGGGCTCGCACGAAAAGTTTCAAACGGCATGCTAAAGATCAAGGATGTTATTAAAACACGGGACGAGTCAGAATTGTATTGATATCTACAGTTGAACAATACATTCTGTAGCTAGATAACATAGTAGACTGGGCGGCTATACAGCCACGCATGAGGTGGGGCTGACACGTTTCATGACCAGCTGGAGGAGCTCACATTTCGTTGCAACAGCTCTGTGACGAACGTGTTGCACTAATAACATTGTGCATCGAGAAATATTTCTACCGCATTATAATGATCGTTCCTACGGCATCACGGACATGAAACAACTTCAATAAGGAAATGAGTTTTCTCGATGCAGACGCATGTCGACGATCACAACATACATGCATTCAACTTTATAACACTTTGCATGCAGAAGCCGTCATGCGGTGATGAGACACATCTTGCCTCGTGAATAAGCAGACCGGAAATTCATGTCGGCTACCAGTAGAAAAATGTGTTACATTATGGGGAATACGACTAGTAGTCAGTGGTGCATCTAATTTCACGACGGACAGGCTCGCTTATCGGGATGCTAACGGAAAAAAAAGTGAAAGAAACGCTTCGCTCGTCGCAGACGAACAGACAAGATCATTAAAATTCCAAGCAGAAATGACCAGAGTAGAAACCCGCATGCAATGGGTTTTCCTATATTACTTCCAACTTGTAAAATGGACGAAAAGCTGCAATAATTTCACGGACTTTGCAGGGCTGACATGATAGAATAATAACAATCGACGTATGCAGAACAGTAATCGCACCACACACATCCTAGAAAAATACCTCAAAACCGGTCTCATCAATATGAATTAACACACAGACTAACTTCGACAATAAAGTGGATACAAGTCTGCACAGCAACGCAAATATGCTTACGGTGACCGGCGAAGACAGCCATGGCGCAAAAAACATTGACTAACCATATCCGTTAGACATTCTTAGTAACCGACTGCACTTCAAACAGTCAAACGTGTAAAAAGGCCAACAAACCCAACAAATACACTGGGCTTCCATCGTCCCAACAAACTGATCAGTGGTAGCAGGGGTTGAGTAGTAGCAGGTTTATGGAAGCACGGAGTCAAAATAACTCGCGGGAAGCCCACTTCTGTACAGCAAGCATGCGATGAGATCTACTTACTGATTTTTCTACGTTCTATATGATAGTTATGCTATGCCAAGGAAGAAAGAAGCCGACAACGGAACGATGAGTGCATCGATTAAGGAGAACTATCGTCGATATGTGGCTAGTGGCATTGCATAGATCTATGGCACATAATCTTGAGGGTTACATTCGAATTTGCATTTTTCAACAGATATTGTGCTGCCGCATTAGGAGTAATGAAAAGAATGCAGCACGCAACTTGTGCTCCAAGAATCCCGATCGTTCAATTATTTTCAAGTGGGCCGACCTTAAGGAACCAAGAAGCGCAAGTACTAAAAAATATTCTCTTCTATTGTCTTCAATTTAATGGATTAACTTTGTACGATATGAAAATAATATCAGGAATCGTGAATATACGGAATAACAACTTGAGCATTCGCCCAATGTGACCGATTGTAATTAGAGAGATCAAAATCCAGTTTGAGTATCACTAGTATCGTACTACAATGGTGACAAACTGATTCATCAATATCGACTTGTTCAAATCCGACTATGACAATATCTGATAAAACACCGACGTTGTAACGTTTTAAATTCAACATACGTTTTTTTCAACAGCAGAAACTTCAAGCAAACATCAACACAGATAACACAATCACTTGAAATCGGCTTTCATTTTATCGTGGATGAACGTACGAAACGCCTTGCTTCAAGATAAAACAAAAGATCAAAACATCAACAAGTGCAAGTCAAGCTATAAACAACTCATCACGATGTCTTATGGCACAACTCTCTCCTCCCCCTTGAAGGGGCAGATGATAATGTATAGGCATAAGCGAGGAACACTGGTATAGGCTTATTGACTCGAGACTGTCTTAACGTATCACGCAGAACACAGCAGCGCTCACCAAATCACAGCAAAAACTTAGGAGTTGTGAACATAACAAAAAAATTGCACCGTTATTCCTTTCAACCTTCGATTGGTTACAAATAAGAAGCTAAGTACGGGTAACTCAGCAGAACACAATTAACTTGAAAGAAACGGATATCGCAACATGCCGTAGCCCTCATTTTAAAATCAACCTAAACACAACCTCCCCTGATCATTACCTTGTAATAGAACTGGGACGTCTCCATTTAGCACTTACCCCTCACATTTCTGAGGACATGTTAGACCTTTAGCCGCCATGAAGTCTAAAACGATACAAGACTTGGCCAGCACGGTCAACAAGAACAATTGCACGGTACAGTACAGTCGTGGCGCGACTAACGGTTCACAGCAATGCCAAAAGAGTCGGGCGCATCCCATCTGTACAAGTGACTATGATACAAGAATAAATTTACAAAGGCATGTAGGATCTGGGCCTCAGTTCTCTGCTGGCATTGCAGCTGAACCGAGAAGTACGTGCAAGTATTGGGCTCGGCTACAAGGAACTTTGCAATCAAAATGATTTGAGTCGCAACTGTACCTTGCTACTTCATTCACCAGTACAATGTTCTCTTCCCCTATTAACAGGAAACTCGAAGTGTTGCGAGTTCTCCCTATGCTACAGCTTTCGATAATCTTATTAAGTACAACGCGGACTGATTTCGTGGGATAAACTGGACATTTTGGATCGCCGTAGAACTGATAATCATCAATCAGCCTGGAATGTGACACCCAAATAATTTTTGTGATAAAAACTGGCAAGGAGAGGATGTGCGATAGTCACAAAATAAATGCATGTTAGGAGAATGGTCACAAGTCTCTCGAATCTACCATGACGAATTGTACCACTTCGTAAGATCTAAACAAATAGTTTTTAACGTTGAAAAAGCAACAAATGAAATTGAAAGGTTTCACCGAACTTCTATACTCACCGGAGGCTCATTCTCTTTGTCAGATGACTCCACGACGCCGTTTACCTTACAGCCGTCTTTTGGAGCAACCTGTTCTGGTTTTCTCGATTCTTCAGTGATAGCCTTTTCAGAGACATCGATCTCACTAAGATGAGTTCCTTTTTCCAGCAACGCTTGTCCACTTGCACCTTTCTCCAACTCTTCCTTAACTTTGTCAATTTCAGCGGGTGTGATGTGCACAAAGAGAATTCCGTTGATGACATTGAGCATCTCAAGAACTGAACAACGAGCAGGAGCTTGAATTTGGATTGGCGGTAATCCAAACTGATTGGAGGGTTTTCCGTTGTAAGCCTCGCTTATTTTCTTGGCCATTACAACAGCTTGCTGCGTCAGATGACGCAAGCACTCATCAGATTCCTTCGTTTTCTCGTGGTTCATTCCCAACTCCGATTTATAAATGGTGAAGGTTTCCTTCTCGTTCCTGAGAGCACTTCTGAAATCACCCAAACAACTTTGGGTTCGAGCCACCAAGTGATAACTCAGTGCCACTTTGAGGCTCTTCTCTCCAAAGAAGATTTTGTTAAGGGCGAGAGAATTCTCAAGGAAATTCAGAGACAGGCTGTACTGGCCTACTGCATACAAAATGAGGCCGATGTTTGAGTCAACAAGAGACACTTCTGGATGCTGAGGACCACTCACAAGTAGCAACAAATAGCGCGCACGGTACAGAAGTTTGAGTGCGACGCTGACCTGCTGGTTGGCGTAGCAGTAGAGTGCAAGATGAGTGTATTCGGTGATGGTGTAAGGGTGGTCGATGCCATTCACGCGCTCACTCATGAGGACAGCTTTTTGTTGGTAGCACATTGCATCTGTGTAGTCGCCCATGATGTAGTTTAGACGTGCAAGCATTCGTAAGCACTGAGCAATTTCTGGGTGCATGGCACCATACACGTTGTTCAGAAGGTTTAGCGATTCGCTGATCAGCTCGTAGCCATCTTTCAAGAAGCCCTGCTGGATTTTGGTCTGGCCTGCTGTGTACAGATTGAGTGCGTCACTCGCTCTGGGATTGATGTGCTTCACGATTGGGAACAGATTGATGACGTCGTCTTCAGAGAAGAAATCTGGACTCCGACCGAAGTAATCCCGAAGCTTCAGTTGGATGCCACAGCGCAGGCAAACGGTCCGCAGAAGCGAAATCTTCTGCAAACCAAATTTTTCAATTGCACTCTCGATAGAGTCGCAGAGAAGGTCGTAACCAAAGTACCTCTTACATTCGTGTTTGATTTGTTGCCACAAAGATCGAGGTGTCAACAATGACCACTCAGGCATACTGCTCACGTTCTTCTTGCGTTTCTTTTTAGACAAAAGTTCGTCAGTTTTAGAAGTGTTCACGCGCGGTACGCTGTTGCAAAGAAGGCAATTCAAGAAGTGCGAAATACCAGTGGATAAAGTGATGCTCTCAACGCCCTGGATGTACTTGGTGAGTATATGCTTCACAGACCTGAAGATTATTTCCCCAACAGCGATGGAGTGAGCATAGCTAAGTTCAGGGATCTTAGCTAGCATGTTTGCCAGCTTTCCGAGGTAACGGACGTTTATTCCACGAGAATGCATGGCCTCGCACAGTGTAGGGCCATCAGTAGGGGCGGAGGAGTGGTCAGTGAGGTCATGCACCATACTTGGCAGTTGCACTGACACGAGGAACTCTGCCGCATCCACCACGAGCTGTCGCTCTCTCTTGAAGCGCGTGCTATTGGCATCAGCGTGCTTCACTCCGGGAGAGAATACGTCACTGTTGAAGCGGATATCAAAGTCTGACTCTTTCAGCGACCCAACAGCTGCAGATGCTTTTTTGATTATGTCGCGAGTGTTTTCCTCGACTTGCTTCTCAGCAGCAATGCTTTCGGTAACGTTTTCGACTATTTTCTTCGCCTCATCAGCTTCAATTTCTTTGTTGTCCTTCGTCTCACCATCTTTAATTTGAAGCTGATTGACCACTGGCTCTTCTTCTGTTTTTTTCTCTTCATCAATTGCTTTAAGTTGCTGTAGTTTAGCAGGATCAGAAGTCTTGGCAGTGAGCTGCTGAAGATGGATTGCTGCATACTTAAGGAACATCATGTAGCGATGGTCAACAAACGCATCTACAAGCTCCTGGCGGAGAGTTGATAGCTTGTGTTGATGGCGGATAGGGAAGCCCAGTTTCTTGCATGCAGATGGATAATCTATTTCAGACGCAAGATCCAAGAAATTCACATCTGGAGGAAAGGTACGCAGTAGATCCAAGATATAATGACGACCGTCATTGCCGATTATGCCTTTGCATTCAACTGACGAGCAGAGCTCAACCTCAACTCCTTTGTCATTGAGGACCTTGTGGGGCAAGACCTTCAGTTGCTGCCCAGCTTTCTGGAGCAAGTCCATGTACTTACTGTGCGTCTCTACGGTCTTGCCAAAATCGATGGAGCCATAAACTACACTCTGCTCTTGCTCCCGCTCCAAGATGCCAGGAATGATAGACTGCGCTGTGATGCGGAAGCCCCGGTAGTCAACAACCACAGTGCCAAGAGTGTGAAGGCCTTCAGTGTCAGTGGCACTGTATACACGCACTCCTTGTAGGTCATTTCGAGGCGCTACAAACGCTGCCGCATCGCCCCCAACCTCCTTGTAATGATCCCTCACATCGAATCCTAAACTGAAGAATATATTATTCCAAATGAACATCTGCATTTTAGGATCCTCGCCAGGATTGATAGCCATTACATTACCATCAACCACAGCCATGGCACCTTTGGTTGCTGCAGACACAAAGTCGCTGTGTACCTTGAAAATAGCGCGCTCCCGCAGCAAGCGCTCAGGTAGAGATCGGCGCGGCAGCTCGCGGGTAGTTTGCAGCTCTTCGTTCCAGTCCCGCGTCTGACCAGGAATGTGTTCTTCGTAACCAAGTTTGCTGCTGAATGCATCTTCAGCGCGGATGGCATCAACGGTGTGAACCAAAGAGGGGGCTGTCCATGAGAACACTTGGTACGGGCAAGGCACGCGTTCAAGCGGATGGCGCAGGAGTCTCTTCTTTTGCAACAGAGCAAAGTTTCGCTTGAAGGTCTGAGAAACTTGGTTCAGAAGCTCCACCAGGGAGTGGCTCAGGTAACACGGTGTTGCAGGCTTTGGGTTAAACTCTTCAGTAGTGGTCCTGAAAAGTTGGCCAATGGGCGTGAGTTATTTGTTTCCTAATTAATTAAGTACAGCTCCTCAAACTAAAATAATCAAATCATAAAATGAAATGAGCTTAAACACTTGCCAAATTCTGCAAGGTAGACTGATAATAAAACAATGTACTTTCAAGAAATATTACGACATTTTAACGTTATTTGTCAATATTTGATGGTAAGAGTCATAATCTTGAAGGCTGGAACATCTACTATTGTTTGCTGTTCTTTCTCAGAATTGTCCAGGGTTGAAATTCGTCATTGATACATGTACAATAGTGTACCTGTATGTAATAAGTTTGTCGTTGTCATTTTAGTTTACAAGTTGAAAATAAAGGGAAGAACCTCTAGTGTTCTTATAACAAAATTACGTTACCTGCACAAAAGAGCGTCACATTGAACAGCTCTCTTCTATGGAAGCCGCCACAATTAGATTTATTAATTTACACTTCCAAGCCAAAGCGAAAAATATCCTGTACAAGCCAAAGCAATCAAATATCCTGTACAAGGTACGAGTCAGTGACTCACTGGTTGAGGTAGAAACCCCAGGGCGAGGCAGTGATATGACAGTTGTAGCCTTCAGCCGTGACCAGGAACAGGTAGAGTAAGTCTCCCTGCAGCTTGCGGGGGCCAGGAGGAGGATTCCAAGCACTAGTCGTTAAGATCTGCAGGAAATGGCAACATAAGTTTTCAATTTAGCCGCATCACTGAAGCGCATCTAGTATGTTAGGTTTAGATACCTAAAAACCTCTGTTAAGATCATTATTTGTGAACAAGATTAAAGATAAAGCTCAAATCAAACACTCTTTTTTGACTCATAATCGCGAGTGTACAAAATAAAGGATGAAACACAGTGAATTCAACAGCAAAAAATATATATATTTCCTTCAGTAAAGAGAAACGCGCAACACATGAAGAGCTATTTCATCAAACACTTGAGATAAGACCTTGAGGCACTGCGGTGTCCTGGTATCTTTGCTGTAAGGTTGCAGAGGAAGAAGAGGACGATCCTTACTGCCTGGCAGGATGTAGTCAGGGGGAGTGCAGTCCACTGATTCGACAACGCTGCGCTTCTTTTCTACTTAAATGAATTATATGTCAAAAGTTATGGTTGGAGAATACCTGAAAATTTTTCAAGTTGATGAACATTTTTAGACCGCACTTGAGGAAGCTGTCATATGAACAGTAATAAACAAATTAACCAATAATTGAGTTTCAATAATAATATGAAAGTAAAGAAAAACTTTCCAGCTTCCATTACATGGAAGATTATTCCATTTGAAACAATAATAAAAAATGTGTAACCTTAAAAATAGAATAGCATGTTTCTAGTCTGTGAAAGGAAATGATAACGGCTGTGAGAGGAGTGAAGAGTATATACCTACACGGCTGTGAGAGGAGTCGTGCGTATATACAAGTAACCAAGTCTATCAATTGAAGAAATAATCAGATAAAAACAAGAAATCTCTGCTATCGAAATTCAGTAAGCCATTGTACTTCCAACGGTGTGTTATTGATGACAGTCCAGAAAGAAGGAATGAGAGAAACAAACTAACATGAACACCACGAGTTCAGATCTATCAACTTCAATTGACCGCTTGATGTAGGCAAATTGATACACTGACACTAAAATTATCTCTCTGCTAAAATCGCACGATCACCAACAATTTAAGAACAAAAGAAACTTCAAGTAAGTTCTTCAAATTTACGTAAAAAAACGTTTCAAAGACCATCTAATGATGGAGAAACATTTTAAATGAAGATGTGTTTAATTTACTTGGCGATTTCTTTGCTTTTAAATTCGTGTTGAAACACAAACGTGAAAGTATTCAAACAAATTGAGGACTCTTACCAACAATATCGCCCTGAGTCACAATGTTCAGGAAGGCCAGTGACGCGCACTCAGTTCCACTGTACGCATCAACATCATCGAGACTCTTGAGCAGATCACGCACATGACGAATGTGGATGCGAGCCTCCCGCACCGTGTACGGGTTCTCTTTGATGTGCAAGACACACCCCTCCTGTCATTTCATGTTATTGAATTAGAAGCTTGTGAAAATATCTAACATTGTTCAGCAATAATATACGTACTGACCGTTTCACAAAGTGAGACCTGTAACATTAGATCCATTGGAACAAATGATACACATTCATCCATCCATACACATATTTTCAAGTTCATATATGCACTTTGTATTCGACCTAAAAACTCACTTTGAGACCTGGAATGGTCTTCAGTTCAGCAAAATTGTCAAGCTTAACATCATCAAGGTAGAGGGAGAAGCAAGTTCGATGGCTGGTGTCCTCACGATCCATGAGCAGCTGATGAATTTCTTGCACAAGCTCCAGGCTGCTAACCTGTAAAATATCGGGAGAATTTCACAAGGTTCATTCAACAGAGGCTATTGTGTTCATGTTTAAGTAGATATTAGCACTTAAATGAAAATTATATATAAACCATGAATAACAAAACAATGGCATGGTGATATCCAACCAGATCCTGTATTATACTTATGCACAACAATTAGAGATAAAAGAACATGCACACAACCACAACACTAATGAAACAAATTAAAAGGTAAGTAATATCAGCCAATCAATTTCCTAAAGGTTTTTAAATTTAGGCCCATAATTAGTGAAGAGGAGTGAAGATGAAAAGGGAATTCACCTGAATCTCAAATGATTCACCAGTGGGAGGCTTGATAGTGATGGTAAATCCAACATCGTGCAGCAGATCTTCTTCTGTTGATGTTGCAGGCTTTTCTGGAGAACTGCTCTCAGCGGCAGTTCCTGGAATCAATATTAAAATCTTTACCTCAGGATTGGTGCAAGGAAGATCAAATGGCAACAGCCACTAACATTCAGTTGAAAATAACAAATAATTTGGATCATGTGACAAGAAATGCTAAACAGGATAAATAGCCAGTACGTCTATATACCTATATAATATATACTTCGAGGCAATTTCAATGCATAGTTTATATATTGTCCAAGAAGTATTAGCAATAAAATTCTTATTCAAGTTATTGCCAATAAAATACAAATTTGGTTCAAAAAAATTTTATTCTTTAGTATACAACAGATGAATGATTTACTGTCAGTTCAGCCACAAAATGTTGGGGTAAGTTCAAACAAGCTGTAGTTACCAAGCCTGTGTGACTATGTAGCGGACCATTTTAATGGCAAATCAATTCTAACTCCACAGCACAGAAGGGTTTAGTGAGCTGTAAACTGAAATCTTTATTGAATATTAAAAAGCAGGCTCAACCTGAAATCATGTCCATAAGATATCAAATGACATAAAAAAATATAACTCAGTACTCACTGCAGTTAGTGACAGAGCGCGCATTTTCTCGTCAACAAAAACGAGAAGTCACAGACGGACAGACAGACAGACAGACTGGCAGATAGACATGACAAGCACAATAGTGTATTTTTTTTGCATAAATGAGAAAATGCGCTAAAAAGGCCACCTAACATCCATGGACAAGGCAAAAGCACCAACATTTTGGCCTATACCAGAACATAATTTGGCTACTACATGCCATACTTAAATTAATTATTACAGTATGAAGTTTTAATCAAGATTTGGGTCTATGGTATTGCTAGTAAAGCATTTGTCCCGAGGCTCAGAATGCATCCAGCCATCACTTGCCTGCTATCTTGTTTGGAGAATGTGCCGATTCAGAGCCAGAGGCATCAGTTGTCTGCTCTTTCTTTTGCAGGTTTTTTTCTTGAGACTCAGTTTCTGCTTTTTCTTTTCCATCTTCACTAGAATCATCTGTAACATAGGAATACATTAATTTGTCACTTTAAAATTAGCTAGATGGGTTTCTATTTGTCACTTGTAATTTAGCTAGATGGGTTTCTAATGGCTAGAAACTGGACTAAGCTAACCAAGCCAATATTAGGCCTCTGGACCAAGGTAATGAAGCCCACATTAAGCCTCTGGACCAACATTAGGGCATAAGAATAAAGCAATCAAGCATAGTAATGTTCCATTTTTTTAATTTTGAAATAAACTAGAGGATAATTTACTAATGAGCATTTTGAACAATGATACTAGTACCATCACTGGGGTGACCTCAGCCACTGGGGGGTGACTTCAGCCACGCCTATAACAGAAACAAATGACAACAAAATAAAATAATAAATGTTGGCCAAAGTGACTGAGGTGACTTTGGCCAACATTTATACTTTGTTTTACTGCCATTTGTTCCTGTTGTAGGTGTGGCTGAAGTCACCCCGGGTGGCCAAATTCAATCCAGTTGACGGTAAATCAATTAAGATAAATTTATTTCCTAATGATACTCGCAGTCACGCATGCCAGCAATGTCAGGTTTCTTATTTTCCTGCAATGTACACAAAGTGTAAAATTTTTGGCGAGCCAGGCAGCTAAGTATAGTTCAACAAATCTCATTAATTTTTATAATAATCAGCAACAAAAAAGCAAACAAGGAATTGCATTGTTCATTTTCTTCCTCATTTTGTAGGTAGTTAATTCAGACAATGATGAGTGCCCAGATAATGATGAATACCTATGTAATTTGAGATTGGTATGCTGAATTTGGTGTTAATGGAATTAAAAAATAAAATGGCATGGTCTAAATGTCAGTTCATGAAATAAATTGAGAGATAAGGAAAGAGGAACCCACCAGCATTGTCATAATTATAAATGTGGCCTGACATCCCCAACCAATGATAGATGAAGCCCTCATCTCTACAGATTGGACTCCAGCTCATCCCATGGACTCCTCATTGGACTCCAATATTTATCATCCCATAACTACTGAACTTTAATATATTTTCTGAACTTTAATATTGTTTTGAAATTATTTTCACAGTTCCAAATTTTTGCATTGTATCATTTATGTGTATCCTGTCTTATTTCTGCCAAAATTTCAGTATTCAATTCTTCCAATAACTTGAAAATAAATGTCGTCATATTCAAAACATCAATTATTTAAAATTACTTCCTTGAACCTGCATTTTGATCAACCAACTTTGTCTGAAGAATATTGTTCAATTCAGAAAATTTAAATAAATGATTATTCTGGTCATTAACTACACGTGTTTAAAAATATAGATTAGCATAGATAGGAAGAATTTGCTCCTTAAAGCAGGTTTCATTGAAGACCAGAGAATTTGTTTCATTGAGAATTTTGTTATCAGTTTTTACAATATATTAAACAATATTTTTTGCTTGCGCTGGTAAATCAAAATCAGGGTACCGATGGACATTTTTACTCCATCAACATTATCCGATGTAGTCCATATAAGGGAGAAGTCTACAACCTTCTCTATTGCAGGAAACTAAATAGTCTACATAGGTCTCTTGGAAAATCCTTTTTTTTTTGCAGGGTTTATTGTTCATTACAAGGTTCTCTATTTAATTTTTTTTTACAACAGAAAATTTTTGTATAACAGAAAATTTTCAGTCGTTTTTTTGTACAACAGAAAATTTTCAGTAGTTCAATTTCATTAATAGTTACGCTTATGATGTGTTTGTAATTCATGGATTGAAGAATTTGAATTAAAGAAATCAAAATATCTATAGGTACCCTGACTTTGTATTTACCAGTGCAAACAAAAAAATATATATATTTCCTTCAGTAAAGAGAAACGCGCAACACATGAAGAGCTATTTCATCAAACACTTGAGATAAGACCTTGAGGCACTGCGGTGTTGTAAAATATTTTAACTGAAATACAAAAGACCAAGAGAATGAAAGCAAACAGAGATCAGTAGCTGCCAAAAAATTATTTTCTACTTTTGAGTCTACATGAAAAACGTGGTCTTTAAAAATTTTTTTTATACATTTTATTCCTATTTTCAGAATATTTATCTGGAATAATAACTAGTTATGATTTGAATCCAGAATGAAACATTGAAAATAAATTTTTTTTTCTATTAAAATGAGTCATACAAGGTGTGTTGGTGAGGTTATATTTAATTAATTACCAAAACTTGTGAGCTTGAAGAAATAAATTCTAGTAACTATAAGCAGATCAAAAATTTTGCAAGTAATTTTTGTTGAAAGAAGTGTTTGTCTTCCAATTTTTGCACAAGGTGCTGATTGGAAAGCAGACAACAATTTGTCCTATGCACATGATTTGACAATGCCATGCAAATGATGCAAATTAGATTTAAGAAGCAGTAATCTTGGATATTGTTTCAATCATATTGCATCTAAACTCCTAAAACTTAGCATGCTGTTCAGAACAAGGCCAATATTTTTGGATAGAGCGAGTGGCTCGGCTACTTTCAATGACAAAAAGTCACCAGCCAGCAGGTACAGCAATTACCTTGCTGCTTGTGCATTGTCCCTACAAACTATATAATGCAGATAAAAGATAAGAACTAGAGGTTGTAGAGTTTAATGATCACACGACTATAAAACAGTTGAAATTGTAGTAGGAAATTGTGGCTATTTTGTTTTCAAAATTAACTTATTTTGTAGGAGGATGGCAACTTAAGTGATGTGGTGATGTTATTGGCATTAAAATAGAAAGTAGAAATACTGAAATTAACTGAACATGTGATCCATCATTTCCATGAATAGGCTAAATCAACCTACATGCCAGCCATATCATCTATAAAGCAAAGAATCACATAAATGTATACCAAGTTAAATTTTTTGAACAAAATTAGTAACCAATGGTAGCTAGATTAAATATCCAGAGCTTGGAAGATAATAGGCTATTAATTTTGTTGTTACTACATAGTGGCAAAGCAAAGAGTTTTTTAGACTCTCCTTCAAGTTCGATTTTGAGTCCTATAAGTAGAGTTAGTAGACCAGCAAAGTATCATGGATACCAGCATTATCATACATACAAAATGGGTTTAAATCTTGAGTAAATGATAAAATTAAAAATTAACTGATTCTAAAAATCACTGGTTTGCCACTATAAAATGTTACAGATATAATAAAGATAAACTTGGTCAAGCAAAAAATCTAGGTAGTAAAACATTTTCCAAACTAGTTCAACTAGGCTTAAAATAAAATAGAAATTGAATCAAGATGAAAATAGGAAATCACAAAGTAGGTAGGCAGCGTAGGCTTAACTCAAACTTGTAGTTGTAACAAAATGTTCACATCTAACAAAAATTGGGAAGCATAGAAGACTAGTTCAGTGGTCCAAAATTTGCAAAGAAAATCAATAGGTATATTTAGATGAAGTCTTATGCAATCAAGTTAAGCTAATGAATCAACTACTTCACTTGTATGGTCAGGTATATAGAAATTAGCAGTTAGCACAGCCATGGCATAGAGAATTCCATTATCAGGCCTCTGCTATGCTATGCCCAGAATGCCCTAAGGCTATCTGGCTATGGCCGTATGGCGTCACACAAACTTTCATAAATCCATGATCAGGATTCAGGGAGGTAAAATTTCTGGAGCAAGTCAACCTTTGACTGTTAAGTATTATATACACAGTAAACGGAAAATTTCTCACCACATGAGGCTTGTTAAAATGTTAGTAATTGCGCACGAAGCCGTAGCGCCGGTTTTCCAAGAAAATTCACAATCGTACAATGTTTGAATATTAAATGATGGTAAAATCGAGAATGAAGTCCCTCATTGCGATTGAAACAAAATTTTAAAAGATTTTCTACGCAGAAGATCGCGAACGATACCATGCTCGTTTAATCCAAAAAGTACCCAGAAAAGTCCCAGATCAAGGATGGCACTCGACGTCTTCCTTACCCTATGCACGCGTAAAGGCGAAAATTGCGTACCCAAATCAGCCGGCTAACTTGTATTTTTACCTGTATACATTGTACGTAAAAATAATTCTAATCACAATATTCATACCTTCTTCAATAGAACTGACGTCCAATTTTAACTCATTTTCTTGCTCAAGTGATAAGGCAGTCGTTGTATTTTCTTTGTTTTTAAGAGTATTGGCATTAGACACTAGTGCCATGGTCTTCTCAGCAGTCACGTGGTTCGAGCAATGCCAGGGGTACCACTATTACAAAATTCGACGGTTGCGAGGCAACACAATGCCGAGAATACAAATTGAACGAAAACATATGAAAAATAACAAAAAATCGTCGTAAAGTTTGGAAATGTTTTGAGAATACGAACCAAAATGCAGTTTACCAGTGACTCAAATGCAAAATGAATACAGGTATGTTGATGTCTAAGGAAAATTTCATAAATTGGAGATGTAGAGTTACGAATCATAATAATTTGTTGTTTCAAATAGCAATTTTTTGTAAACAAATATTTCANAATTAAAAATGCAGCATTTGTAGCTATCCCTCACCCAGCAGGTCAAGGACTGTAAGAGGATCTATATTCTAATCTATACCATAGGTGGCCACCGCAATTGACAGTAATAGTAACAATGGTTTTAAGAGTATATTAGGCCGTAAGGCCTGTCGCCGATTCTGAACGTCGCAGAACTTCTCACAGCTTGTTACCCGTCTCAAACACCGATTCGACACTTTCACGAACTCATCTGCGCACTCGAACGTAAAACCTAACTTGACGCTCAGCTCGCCCTGAAGGAGTTATGACTGCTGTCTCAACGCACAACTCGGTGCTCAAACTCAACACACTATATCGGTGTCTCAAACACACAACTCGGGGCTCTAATTTTCAATGTGCTTTAATTAACTGTCTGACCTACTTGCCGATTTTGACCAAACCGTCGCAGGCATCGGGGATTATGCCCGCACCTTCATTGCCAGTCTTCGTCATCCGAACTGTAACTACTGGGCCACCCAGTCTCGTTAATGAATTCGATTTTATTAGCCATTTTATTTAGAAATAGTTTTTGCACTCTTAGTGCGTTACATCTTGCTAAATTAGGTAGCGTATCATGCTCGAGACAGTAAGACGCATTTACTGATTTAGACAAAGGCTCTACAGGAATTTATCATGGCAAATGCAGTATATGAGGGTCCAAATGAAACATTTTTAAGTTTAACAATAAATTGGTGATTAATGCAACCAAAGGATAGTAATAAATTGCATTAATAAATTAATGCAACCAAAATTATACCTAAAATTTCTAGTGTAGTAGTGCAGAAGCCACCAGAGCATGCTTCTGAATTTTCCGTAAATCTTAACAATTTTAATTCATTAGGGAAAGCCGTTAGAGTTGTTGCCTGGGTGTACAGGTTTCCCCACAATTTTAATTGATATTGGGGTGCGTGGTGACCTCCGGTCACGACCTTTAAATCGGTAATACACGCTGCTTAAAAACTTTTACTAGTATCAAAAAATTAAAAGTTCACACTCATATGTTAACAAAAAAGTTCAGTTAAAGCATGTTCACAGCAGTCCTAAGAAAAAAATAACAATTTCGTTATGTAACATCCTAAAAAATAAAACAACGTGCTAAAACAATTCGGCAGGGTCACACATGTCTTCCCACCCTCCCCTCTCTCAACCCTCCATTCCTCAAGACCCCACTCTTATCAATTTATCATCCTCCTCTCCCTCATCCACNGGTTTCAGCGTTATTAGGCCGTAGGCCTGTCGCCGATTCGTAACATCGCAAAACATTCACAGCATTTTGCGGTCTCGAACTCGCAACTCACTGCTACAATTCTGCTATGCTTAACCGCCCGGCCTCCTTGCCGACTCTGACCAGAAACTGGCGCACATAGCTGGGATCGAACCCGCGCCTCTCTGCGCCAATCTTGGTACTCTGAACTTTAACCATTGGGCCACCCTGCCCAATGAAGGAATTTCCAAATTAAACAAGAATGGCTCACCAAGTGCCGAGTTACCAAACTAGATTTCCAATTTTATTGTCTAAAAATTCGAGACTAGCTAAACTAATTTCAAGAGAAACTCATCGAATGAATCATAATTGTGTATTAAATGAGACTTTGAATTATTCGCTGTTAAGATTCTGGATACCTTCAGCTGGAGCCCTTCGAAATATCTTGAAATATTGCCTCGTTTGTCGCAAAGTCTAGTGTAAGCCATACCAGAGCGCAATTGAAATGAAAATACCATTCAATGGTCATTGAAATAGAAAGACCCTTCAATGAAAAGACTAGTCTTACCAAATGTTCAACTTGCAATAAACTTTTACTTTAAATTTTTTGGAAACGCTGGCATTTACACTACCTGACTTCACTTCGTGAAAGAACTCTGTCCAGCAATGTAACTTCTAGTAATACTGGTAAGATAGAAGATATTGTACAAATTTATATCGATCGCCCTCGTGTACTTGGAAAATCAGGATGAATAATTCCTTTGATTGTTGGTAACGATAACCTTGTTCGTTCTGTAGAATTAGTTACAGACTCTGGAAGAGAGTTATTTTGTACAGAGATAAATTTCTCCTTTCCTAAATATTTTGTATCACTATGTCTAATTTCGTTCTGTAATTATGCCGTTTCTACTTCATTTGTTTAGTCCATTTACGCGCATTGTTATTAGGTATTGATCGTGTTCATTTCGCCGGCCGGGAGAATGTCGGGAACGTAACGTAATCCCGACGTCGACATACGGGTTGCATTTTGCATCAATTTATTAATTTTGGTTGCATTAATTTATTAATATTCTTTGGTTGCATTATTCACCAATTTATTGTTAAACGTAAAAATGTTTCATTTAGACCCTCATATATTGCGTTTGCCATGATAAATTCGGGTCACCTGCCGAAGACCACCACTGCCCTGGATGTAATGGACCATCATGATTCCTGCCTTCCGGAACGTAGCCTTCAACACCTCCAGCCGTCCGTATCTAGGCCGTGGGTCGAACGGCCACTTGTCAAAGGCCGATAAATTTTGGAACAGAACTATGCTATCTGAAACCTAATCTCAGATGCGGTGAACGTAAAATTACGTAATTTAGCGACGCCCGGAAGTCAGATTCGATCCGCGGCCTGGTGGTGCACGGCAGGTTCTATGCGAGGCCGGAGGAAGACAAAGCCGAGTGGTTCAAGGCTGATTGGTGGATGTCCGGAGAGATCCAAGGCGTTCGATTCAGGGCTTATTGGTGCACAAAATTGGTGGTGCACGGCTGCGCTCCCATAAATTCCTGTAGAGGCTTTGTCTAAATGCGCCTTACTGTCTCGAGCATGATACGCTACCTAATTTAGCAAGATGTAACGCAATAAGAGTGCGAAAACTATTTCTAAATAAAAATAAAATGGCTAATAAAATCGAATTCATTAACGAGACTGGGAGGCCCAGTAGTTACAGTTTGGATGACGAAGACTGGCAATGAAGGTGCGGGTACAATCCCCGTTGCCAGGATCTGGTTTGGTCAAAATCGGCAAGTAGGTCAGACAGTTAATTAAAGCACAGTGAAAATTAGAGCCCCGAGTTGTGTGTTTTAGACACCGATTTGACACTTTCACGAACTCGCCCGCGCACTCGAACGCAGAACCTAACTTAACGCTCAGCTCGCCCAAACATAACTCCTTCAGGGCGAACTGAGCGTTAAGTTAGGTTTTACGTTCGAGTGCGCAGGCGAGTTCGTAGAAGTGTCAAATCGGTGTTTGAGACGGGTAACAAGCTGTGAGAAGTTCTACGACTGTGAGAAGGCCTACTCTTTAGCTCCGACATCACTATGCTATGCTGAAAGTTACTTCAGCCTAGCCACGTTTAAATTTTTCTCATGTGTCCAAAGTTTCGGAGAGACATTTGCATCCTGCACACATCTATAATTACTTCCATATATTAAACTTTAATTTAAAGATAATTCTCCATAGAAAATGTTCACAGTTGATATCCACAAAAGAAAACGTGGATAAGTGGATTAGATCAGATCCACGAAAGAGAACTAGGCATATCCTTATGAGCCAACTATTCACCGATCTACATTACAGAAAACAACTTCACAGTTATAGTTTATTATCAGATCACATTTTCATTGTAAAATACCAGGAAAGACCCAAATTATGGCCGGAAGGATGTTCCTAAAAATTCAATGTTAAGACGTGTTCTATAAACAATAGCTTAACCATTAATTTGATTTTAGAAATTTCAAAACTTCGACCACTAAAAATTACCATCAAATCACACAAAACCAAACAATCTTAGTTCTCTCCGGCTGCATAAGCCAAAGTTTAACAATTTGTCAAATTTACAAATCGGCAAAATAGGTTTCGTATAAAATGTCAGTTTAATGAGGAGTTAATTAACGACTGAAATATAACAAGTCTTTCCACGTTTATCCTACATTGAGTTCCATAACAAAAAAAAAATTACCGAATCCTTTCACGATTATACTACTTAACTACCAGGTACAAAGACATGTGTAATAATATCTCTCCTGCCAATATCTCTCAAAATCACAGCTTCAATCAAAAAGCTCCTACATAACCTTATACTACTATGCGTCATAAACATCAATGCATTCTCCTCCATCCAAATCGAGAGTGAGAGGCGTTTCATCAGGATCTAATTTCTCACCATCAAACATAAACCTGAAATCAGCAATACCCTTTCCCTTTTCTTCTGCATAAGCCTTCATAGCCTCGGACATCTTGCTGAACTTGTTGATGGTAACATAGAGTACTCCACGTCGTGCGTTGCACTGCATCTTCAGGCGTATGGAGTCGATGTTTTCGTCCAAACCTTCAATGGTCGCAGATACAGCATTCTTGCCAGCTGTCTCTTTGCTCTTGCTTCGAATGATGCCACACTCTGAATAAGATATGGCGAATAACGAGTGAAGTATTCAATCCATAGACGATTAATATTAATACCTGTCTCATGAGGCCATAAATAGGTGAATAATTAATTTCATACCAATGTTAAATTTAAAATATCATAATTTTTCATCTTTGCAATGTACTATGTCAAAAAAGGCAATGTCAGGGGTAGATTGATTGCTTACTCAACACAAGATGTGAATGCCATTAAAATGATTAATTTTAATATTGAATTATTTAAGATTGTTATCTTTTCATAATTATAGAGACACAATAAGGTAGTAGCATGGAAGCATCATCCACGAATAATGCAGTTCAAAATCAGAATTAGATAATAGTTTAGGGAAAGATCCTCTTGCTGCACTTCATCTTTTCTAAGCACAAGACATGATAAATACAAGTCCAAAACATCTAAGTCAGAGTACTTCCTCATCATAAAAACCTACTTGTTAGCAAAACTTACCTACAAAATCAATGATGGAAAGTCCTACATCAGCAGGGGTTTGATCCGCATGGATGATGGAATCATTCAGACTCAATACTACTTGGTCAAATCTCACATTGTGTTGTTCTGCAAGCTTCTGGTATATTATTCCAAAAGGATCTTTCTGCAAGATGATGTTAGGTTTGTTAAAGCAAGAAAGTTCACAGAATATTTGATGAATTTATACTGTATGATAAACTGAAAATAATCTAAGAATGAAACAAATTTCCCATCATATTTTTACTGGCATAAATTTCTTTACAACCATATTTGTGTTGAATGGAATGCATGAAAATTATGCTATAGCGCAAGTAATTTTGGTCATTTTACAGACAGATCTTGCTATTACAGTTATGTTTCCATACTGTACATCAATCAAAAAATAAATGTGTATTGGAATCTAACAATACATTTTTTTCAGATCTTTATTGAATATTTTACATTTAATTGGAAGAATGGTACAGATGATGTCAATCAATTTAGAGATGCTACAGCTTACCTGTTTGAGCGGAAATTTGGTGTAAGATTTCCCACACTTTACTTTAACCAAAATTTCTTCATTGTCATCGTCATCAGACACTACCACTTCAGGGGTTTGGTCCTGCATGAAATAATAAAATTCATGTCATTAACTGATGATACCATCTTCTTATGTATATCGTAAAATATACAGAGTTTTAAATAAAATAATTCATTTTAAGGGGAAAAAAGCTGAATTGAAGGCAAAGACTTATGATGTATATGAAAGGTTGAACCAATTAAATTCAAGTTGTTGAATGAACTTAATATAATTAAGTTTTACAGCAATTCATGAAAAAATCATTTTATAATATAATTATCTAGTCAAGGGACATGATACTATTATAAAAATGTACATTAATTTGAGTTCAGATTAGATGAATCCAAAAATTTTAGTATGGAAAATATTTATGCAAAATCTTTAAAGCATACCAGTGCTTCCAACTCCAGCTTTTCAGAGTCAAATTTAATTTTCTCAAATGTTTCAAAAATCTTCTGTGTTTTCTTGCTGATCTTGACCAGTCTTCTTCCAGAAACTTTAATTGAGTCCAATTCTAGACTTGGTGACAGGACTGAAGGAGTTTTGCACCTGATAAAATTGCAAAAAATCAAATGAACATTTTCACTTGAGGAAAAAGTAAGTTGAAATGGTTATGTTCATAGCACCACCCAAGTATCAAATCATGTGTGTGCTCCACTGTGATTGAAGAGAATGTTTGCAACAGGTATTTAAAATTAACCTAACAAATCTTCTGATATAGTACTGAGGCACAACTAGAAGAATCATAAATATATATTTGAGCATGAGTCAGGTGATAAGTTTATTCTCTGTAGTTAGTGATATTTAACTACCGTACTCCAGAACATCATTTGAGCTTGGAATAATTTGGAAAAAAAAATTAATGCTACCACTTGGGAAGTTGGGAGAGAAGCATGTAACAAAATAAAAATTACACATCTAATTCTAAATAGAATTTGAAAAATCCACATTCAAAATCTCACTCTTTATCAGAAAGACAAATGATATTGTCCTCATCATCGGAATCAGATGATCTGGAATGCTTATGCTTCACTGTCGGAGGAGTCAGCCAAAAACTAGCACGTTTGGCTGAGGGAGGAGAGTTGCTGGCACATTTGGCTGAAGCAGCAGCCTCAGCACTGGCTTTGATTTCTGCCCAAGTGAAACATTACATATGTATGCAAGGTTTTATATGTCTGCAAGGTTATTTTTCAGTTAAAATTATCATTAAAATAAAAATATTTTTAAAATATTGGCTTTAAAATACACTTTGTTCAGAATGTAAGTATCAATAAAGTTAGTCAGGCTTCTCCAAAAATTTCTGTTCTGCATATCTCCAAGAAAACCATCATTCTGCAATGGGCCTGCCACAAAAGACCCTCCTGACAAAAGTTCCCCGCATGCGTAGATGGTTGAAAATTGAAATAGTGACGTCATACTATTGCGCGCCTCATTCCTGCAAAAAACTAGGTCTGGCGGGAAAATGTTAAGATCTTCAGAGCAAAAGTCCAAGACTAGGGACTCCAAGTCAACTAGTGAGAACATTGAAACATGTGTCAAAGTTGATAATTGACCTTGCTCTACCAAATAGGGATTCCTAATATACCTAGGTAGCCTATTCTGTATTCACAGACTTATTTAAAAGTCTCAAACCATAATATTCTTTCTACACAAACAGTTTATCCCTATTTGGTAGAGCATAGTGGCAAACCAGAGCTTTTTTGGAATCAGTTCATTTTTAATTTTCCCAAAACTCAAGATTTAAACCAATTTCTTAAGTATGATAATGCTGGTATCCAGGATACTTTACTGGTCTGCTTATAGGACTCACAAATGAACTTGAGGGAGAGTCTAAAAAACACTCTGCTTTGCCACTATGTGGTAGAGCAAGGTCAATTATCAACTTTGACACATGTTTGGATGTTCTCACTAGTTGACTTGGAGTCCCAAGTCATAGACTTTTGCTCTGAGGATCTTGACATTTTCCCGCCAGACCTAGTGTTTTGCAGAAATGTGGCACGCAATAGTATGACGTCACTATTTCAACCATCTATGCATGCATGCACGGAAGTAAGAAAAAGCTTAAAATAAAAGAAATACGTTGAGAAGTGTCAGAATTACCCACGATGTCGGAATATGGTGCGTTTACGGTTTTACCCTATTCATATATTATCATTACATAACAATATTGGATACCTATTATCAGATTATTAATACTACAATAACATTAGCTACTTACCACTAATATCTACAGAATAGAGGTCATCCGAATCAGAATCAGAGAATGTGAGGGCGGGGTCAAAACCATGAAGGACATGATTTTTTTCCACAGCCATGTTAACTTCTAGGCTGATCTAACAAAATCGTTTCCAAAAATAGATAGTGAATTTTGTAAATGAATTTTCACTTATTGGAGGAGAACAGCAAATAATCTTTTGATACCCTGGCCTTGGCCACTGGGCAAGGCAATTAGAAAATCCACTTTGCTTGACACTTGACAGGCGGTACTCCCGCCTCCCGCGAAAGCTGGAAACCTAGAATTTCAGCCTTTTCAAGTAACTAATAAAGAAGGACATGACATGTAACACAAACAGTACACTTTTTTCCTTACGTCTTACGACGAGGTGAATTTTCCTTTATATTTTAGAAATTCAATGCAACGAAACGGCTGAAGTATAACATGAGCGATTGAAATTGAACTGAAATAAACGTAGAAGACTAGGACGTAGGAGCCAAGATTTCCAGCCCACCGAAAGTGGCGGTCATTCGCAATCGAAGGTGATTTGTTTATAAAAGTTGGAACTTGGATTAATTTGGATCCTGACTTGGACACTGTCAACATTATAAGACTATATAAGGTTGACCCACGAGAAGCTCCGTCTTTCAGTTCAGATTTCATGTTAGGTCACTGAGATCGAGAAACGTAAACAATTGGAACTTGGATTAATTTGGATCCTGACTTGGACACTGTCAACATTATAAGACTATATAAGGTTGACCCACGAGAAGCTCCGTCTTTCAGTTCAGCTTTCTTGTTACGTCACGTAGATCGAGAAACGTAAACAATACCGTCATTCCCATGACGGATTGGTTGACTGGTTTGATCGCATTTCGGTGATTGGTTAATGCCCGTGACGTCACTGAGGTCAAGGACGTCACAGGCGAACAACGAACTAAATCCGCAAAAATGGGCTTCTGATGGGTCAACCTTATACTAGTTCAACCATGAATTTTTTTCTCTTTCCAGGAAGGAAAGGAAGTAGCCAAGCGATCACCACTTAGAATAGAATAGAAGTGTCGGCACTGAAGAAATAGGCCCATGGCCTGTCGCCGATTCTTGAATTTTTCGTGACTTGATTCACAAAGGATCCGGCCTTTGAACCCCAATCTTTACTTGATTCGCAAAGGATCCGGTCTTTGGTACCCGATCTTTCCATGACATGATTTTGATCCGGTCAAATGACATGATTTTAGATCTTTTGTGAACAAGGCACGAAAAGGAAAAGAATCGGCGACGGGCCACATCAGGCCTACACTTCCTCGCTGAGATCAATATGTTATGTTAAGTTATAACTGACGATTTATTGAGATAGCTGCTAGACTTATTGCCTAGTCTGTAATTTGCTAGGCATTTTAAGACTAAACATATGCTCCTATATAGCTTCGTCTAGTCTGTTCTTGAAGGCGTTCATAGTCGGAGCGTCAACGATGATATCAGGGAGACTGTTCTACATGTCGGTGACTCGAAGCGTGAAGAAATGTTGTCGCATGGATGTGTTACAACGCAGTTTTTTTAGTTTATAGCCGTGGCCCCTGGTGTTGGTTCTTGTTTCAAATTCTAGTAATCCTTCTGGGACCTTGTATAAGCCATGAGCTGTCTCTTATACACATCTAGATGTGTATAAGAGACAGGTACTAATGTGCAAGTACTACCTCCGCCTCATACAGTTGCCCCAGTGCCCTGTTGTGTCAGATCTGTTCTTTGCAAATGCACCTCCTATCATGCCACAGAGGACATCATCACTAGCCAGCTTTGTCCCTCGCACCAGGGCTATCTTTTCTTCATTACAAATCCCAGTTCCTCGTCTGCTCACCTCTTCCCTTGTCTCCCCACTTCCTCCCTGGTTCAACTCTGAAATTCTATTCTCAGTTGACTTTTCTTCATCAACTGTATCAGATACATCTTCAGAAGCTGCTGCTCAAATTTTTCAAGACCTTGTTAACTTCAAATATTCTAGTCACACAGCAATATTTACAGATGGATCTCATGTGAGCACTCCTAGCCATTCAACCTCAGCTGCAGTAGTAATTCCCTCCAGAGGGGTCCTATTAAACTGGAAGCTTCGTCCAGATGTTCAGGTAATTGAATCCGAACTATTTGCAATAAGAGAAGGTTTGAGTTGGTCACAAACCAACCTCCTCCAATCAGAAAATGTTGTAATATTCACAGATTCACAATCCTCAATTTGCATGATAAGAGAAAGACAACCTACTTCCTACCTAAGCTTAATATTTGAAATACAAAATAAAATCATGTCACTAATGCCCTCCCATGAGGTGCGCATCCAGTTTGTCCCAGGCCACCGTGGTATTGAGGGCAACGAGGCCGCCGACCATGCAGCCAATGATGCCCACATGCTTGGGTACCGTACCCCTGTCTCTTATACACATCTAGATGTGTATAAGAGACAGAGCTAGAACTGTACTGTTCATCCACTGAGTTTGTTTGGCTCCACCAAGCTTAATTTTGGGTACACACGCAGCAACTGCAGACATAACCGTGTCCTTGAGAAATGACCATGACTCAGCCACATTCATGACCTTAATACAGTTCGAAATATTCACTGCATTCACTGCTTCACGGAATTTATCATAGTCGTTCGCAAAATTCAAACGCTCACGCTTTCGAGGCGTCTTCTCAGTTACAGCACTTTAGACTGAAAAACAATGATTGGTGATGGCTTTTGCCCAATGGAGCCTCGTGACGAAGCTCATCTAACATTGATTCATGAGGTCTAGAATATTGGGAGTCTGTTTACTTCTTTAATGGGTTGGCTTAGTAACGTGCTGGACTAGGAAGGAGTCTCTCACAGACTCCCTGAACAAGGATGCTGGGTGATTCTCATCCCTTGGAGAGGATCCATCTGTCCAGTCTAGCTCTGGATGATTAAAATCACCAACGATCAACGTGTGTGACCTACGGAAAGCCATGCTCCGTAAAAGACTGTTTGCACCACACTGATTCTCTAGCTGATTGATGCTCTGCAGATAACTTGATTTGCTGGGCCCCATTAGAGGTTCTAACCCACAAAGCTACACCTCTACTGCACTGCCCTTCATTTAAGTTATGAAAACAATCAAAACCTGGCAACTGAAATTCAACAGGTACAATTTTCCCCCCGTGATTTTTAAGGAGTGTTTCTGTAATACAAATAATGTCTGTGCACTCGTTTTCGATCACAGTTAACCGCTCATTTTTTTTGTTCAAACAGAATCCGAACTTGTGTAAAAACATTTTAAATCTTTTTGTGCACATTCACATGTTACTCATGGTTAAACTATATACTAGTTCAACCATGTTGTTACTGGACTCGGCAAAATTTACTCTTCTACTAGATGGGCTTAAGGTTTTTGATCGATCAGAGTTCGAACCAGGCTGGAGCTCATGCACTACAAGTAAACCCTGCGATTTGTTTGTGCTAAAGAGGTGATTGTTGCTCATATTATCTTGAACATTTCTGCGGAGGTTGCCTCCTCGAATAATTATCTGAACTGATAGGTGCAGAACACCCAAGGCCCACCATCCAAGCACATTGGAGTGTAAGCCATGTCAAATCTTACAGGAGTTTTAGTAACGAGTAACGATTCAAGTGATGAAGCGAACAATTGGCAGAAGATTCAAACTTTATTTATACTCCATCCTCAAATTTATTTGTTTCTATTTCATTTTTTGCTTAGAACTTGTCTTATTTCTTACTAATTTCATTCCGAATCTGGGCCACAGCTACAAACTAAAAAAACTGCGGTGCAACTTATCCACGCGACAATATTTCTTCTCGCTTCGAGTCACCGACGTGTGGAACAGCCTCCCTGAAGATATTGTTGACGCTCCGAGTATGAACGCGTTCAAAAACAGACTAGACAAGGCCATGCAGGAGCAATGGTTTAGTTTTAAAATGCCTCGTATCCTACGGAACGACGTAAATCTAGAAGCGATTTTAAATCTGCCGTCCGTTGATAAGATTTGATCAAAAGGCTAGTCTAGTCAAGAAAAGTGCAAGAATCGGCGACATGCCTATCCAGGCCTATTCTCCAATGCCGAAGATACTATACTATACTATACTATATTCACCCTCATGGAATCAGTAGGTACAAAGAAATTTTATTCATGAAAGGAACCCTCATATTTTGTGAATGGAATAATAACGAAATATTACAAGTCTTAGTAGATTGTCGTTCGCATCGGAATTCTAATGGGTCGCCTGCCGAAGACCACCACTGCCCTAGATGTAATGGACCATCATGATTCCTGCCTTCCGGAACGTAGCCTTCAACACTTCTGGACAATTATATCTAAGCCGTGCGTGGAACCAGCCCTCGGTCGAACGGCCACCCGTCGAAGGACGATAAATTTTGGAACACAACTATGCTCTCTGAAAGCTAACCTCTGATGCGGTGAACGTAAAATTACGTAATTTAACGTTGCCCGGATGTCATATTCGACCGACGGCCTGGTGGTGCACGGCAGGTTTTATGCAAGGCCGGAGGTGGTTCACGGCTGATTGATGGATGTCCGGAGAAATCCAAGGCGTTCGATTCAGGGCTTACTGGTGCACAAAATTGGTGGTGTACGGCTGCGCTCCCATTCTAATCACTGCACTGGGGCTTACTTTGCATGTAGTCACAAAACAGCGCAATTTTCAAGATTAACTTGTATATCTTCAGCAGATATTAGCGCAGCTTCAATTTATTCAATTATCAGCATCAGTTTTTCATGTATGTCACATTTACTAGAAAAGAAGTAGGTAAAGCATAATTCTGGAAAATTTTTTATATACGAGTGTATTGGCTCATGTTTCGGTCATCAGGAAAGCCTTGACTTTAGTTCGCAATTTAGTGCTCGCATAACTTACAATATTATTCAAATAGGGTCTAAACCGTCTTGACCAATGCTCACAAATATCTTAGATAGTCGAAATTTTAATTGTATTTTTATATTAAAACAAATAGATGATTTCAATGGATTCAAACTTGATTGAATTGAATTTGTTGATATGTTATCTATTTCTCAAAATGCAAAATAGCTCAAAATATTTTAAAATAACCTGCAGAAGAGTTTTTTATAGTCTGCAGACATCCTGAAAAAAATTTAACGCGTTAAAAAATAGGTTCCTACATATAGCATTAAATGCAAAATTTTGGCGCCTCATTTCGAACAAACTTATGGCAGATTACTTCATTTACATCTGAAAACGCTGTTAAAAATGGCTTACTGTTTTATTATTAAATTATTTGATTTTTTGGCACAATACAATATCTTGAATAAAATAAGTTCCTCGAATAAAAAGTTTTTTGTAAGCACTTAAATTTGTGACAGAACGTTTTTCTGTTATTCAATTTTTCAACTAAACGAACTAGTTCCTGACAAACTCATGTTATGTTTGAACAAGTCACAGTTAAGTCCAACTACTGTAACCAAGTGAATACGTCACCTCACAAATTAAGATATTTTTAAACTCGAAAAAAATTCTTTGATTTGCTGAGCTAACAGTAGTACAAACAATAATACGTTCACAATCGTCGAATTCTAGTTGCGTAAATAATTATTTCCCTATCAGGAATTTTTTGTATTGTATGCATCAACTTAAATTTGTAGGCGTGGCTATCAACATAAGTGAACTTTTCGCTAGCAGCGTTGAAAACAACTTGAATACATTGCGCACTTTCAGTACAAATGAACAGTAATTACCAGCATACCAAAAATTTCTATAGCAAAACACAAAGTTCATAGACTAAAATAACACATCGCCTCTTCTAACCTCATGATAATTTCGAGTTATATAAAATAGCAGACGAAAATACTATTTAGTAACCTAGAAGTGTTGCCGCCCAACGCTCATCAAAATCATCTGTTGTTCTTTTATAAAGGAAAATAAACAATTTCACAAAAATATTATCGAATGTTGCGCGTATGAATGAACATTTGCCAAAGGTCCCCCTAAATGAAGCAGTGGTGATAAATTCGGAGGATGATAAACTCCCCCCAAGTGCGGACCATGGTAATGGTTTGCGATGGATCCGTAAGCGCTGAAGTCGTGAGAAGTTTGATGAAAGTGTTTCCCTTGGAAAGAGTAAGGCGGCGGGAGTTTAGGAGGACTGGAGATGATATGGTTACTGGTCTCCGGATGGACAATTGAAGGCACGATACTCCGGCTGTACTTGTGTGGTCGTCGCAGCAGGTATGTGGTACGCTGAAGAAAAGAAACAATATTATTCGTGTAGAGTAATTGTTTCCCTATGATATATTAAAATTTCTACGGTGGCAATAACCTCAATAGGAAGTTTTTAAGAAAAAAAATTTGGTTTTTGCTAGTTTTTACTTGATGCTCCCTTTGCGATAAGTTAGATTTCTTTAAAAAAATGTCATGGTGGCTTGCAATATTTTTTCTGCGAATTTTAACTCATACAATCTATAAAATTTAACACAATCACATTAAAATTTAACACAATATTTTATTCTCAATTTTTTGCCGAGAAGAAGATACTTGGCAAGAGAGCACTGTCGCTAAAATTTCTTCTCACGCCACGACAACCAATTTTGTTATTTCTCCAATTTTCACATGTGATAACAGCATCAATTGATTCACGCGCCAAACTAAAAAACCCCATAGAAAAGTAAGTATTAATTAGGTATTAATATTAATTAATTAAATATTAGTTAAGTATTAAGTAAAATTAAGCATGTCGTACCTGGGCCTTAGGCGGGATCATGCCGTTGAAGTCGGTAGGTTCTGAAGGATGGCTTGCTTTCCTGAGGGTCAAAATTTCGTGTATGTCCTCAGGGTCCCGGGCGCCCGGCCGCACGTCTGTGTCTCTGTTAGGGTCCACGCATATTGCAAGAAAAGATGCTGATGAATATCAATAATTGAAACACAGATTAAATGTGGGGTAAATAAAGTTACATTACAACTGCTGGGAAGCTTGTCGTTTTTTTACCGATTGTGTTACCGGTAAATTGATAATTAAGAAAAGCATTCCATATCACTGGCTTTCTATGTAAAAAATATTATTGAACATTATTCGTTTCTAAATTCGGGCAATAGGAGCAATTATAGATTGGCAAGATATTTTTTCAAAAAGATCTGTAACGTGGAAACGAAATCAATTCTGTTTCTGAGAAGCATGATACTGAAAAAATTATGTTAGAGCTTAATTGGCTAGGTTTATCTTGAAATTATATATATTATCAATCAACAATAATTTTTTCTCCAGATTTAAATATTTTATTCTAATATTTTGAACGAATGCGTCCGTAAAGTACACTTGTGAACGTCATACGCAGGTTTAACTATAATTGTATGTTCCTGCGCGTATTTTTAGTGCACTCTAAGAAATTTGTAATGTTGGTACGGCAAGAGACACGTTTGTTGGATAAAATATAGCACCTTTCAAAAAATTCATTAATAAAGCCAATAATAAATTTGAGTGATTTAATTTAAATGAGAGTTAAAATTCGTTTTTTCTCCTCGACGGACAAAGTATCAAGTTGAAAAAAGCGGCATGAGAAGAGCAGCAGGGAGAGGAGCAGAATGGAGTATGGAGTCCGGGAGAAGAGCGGCACGCATTAGAGCAACATAGAGAAAAACAAAAAAGAAAAGAAGAAAGAAAAATCAGTAAGGTAAAAAAGCTGCATGGAAAAGAGCAGCAAAAACCTTATAGAACAAAGAACAGTATCTATAAAAAATATAACTCAGTACTCACTGCAGTGAGTGACAGAGAGCATATTTTCACGTCGACGAAAACGTGAAGTCACGGACGGACGGACAGACGGACATGGCGAGCACAATAGCGCCTTTTTTCCATAAATGAGAAAATGCGCTAAAAAGAGTTTCAGGGATTGAGACAAATAAACAAATATACTCTGGCAAAAAAAAGGGAAAACTTTGTCAAATAGTGATGCACTTTATGCGCTTGTGTGTGTCATATTAACCCAGTTTGGCCAGGCAAAAGGACCGTTTATAATATTAAGTGTCACGTCCGCTCTCTGCAAGTGCAACGGGTAGAAAAGTGTGTCAATATTCGGACAATATAACCTATTCATTTTCCTGAGTGCATTATAACTGTCTAATGGAATGCTAGTTTAAGCGTGCTGGGGCGACTGCGACCTCATGAATTAGGAAGGAAATGATACCAGGTGCTCACTGGGCAGTGGACAGATTCAGAGTGAATTTATTCAAAAGGTACGTTACAACGTAGAATAAGTTTGTCGTTCAAGAAGGTCGGATCATAAGAACCAGGTTGGCAAATTACGGGCGCTTATTACATTTATACACTGTCCTCACCTGGGCTGGTAGATGAGGCCACATTATAACTGTCCTCACCTGGGCTGGTAGATGAGGCCACATTATAACTGTCCTCACCTGGGCTGGTAGATGAGGCCATTCATGTTCGTCCGTCTGTCCGTGACTTCACGTTTTCGTCGACGAGAAAATGCGCTCTCTGTCACTCACTGCAGTGAGTACTGAGTTATATTTTTTATCAATCAATAATTACGAAAGAGATAAATGGTTCATGTATTCATCACAGACAAAATGCTGCAGTGACATCACCAATAATAATTAATTGGTGCTAGACTGCTAGCTCTCAGTAGCTTGTCTCACCTGGATACCGGGCGTGAGGTAGGCGCTCTCATACGAGGAAGCATCGTTCGTCGCTGTGGTCGGCAGCGCGGTCAGTACGACAACTGCGAGCAGAGAGAGTAAATGGAAACGCAAGGTGCCTGACAAAATACGTCCGCCATGGAGCAGTGCCATGGGTCCCGGCATGTTGCTGGTGATCTGGAGTTCCAGAGCTGGAGTTCCGAGAGGAGGGATGTGGAGATTTCAACACAAAGGCTCCTTAATTGTATTTAATATTGATTCTATTATGAACGGGAATGATAGCTACAAAAACACAGACAACGAACAGTTTTAAAAGATTGAACCATTTTACAGTTTTTTCTTAACAAAAAGTGCATATAAATAAGTCTAGATAATATGGACAATAAATAAGTGTTATTTTGGGAGGAGTTCTATAAAAAAATAATAATGAATTAGGAGGCACTATCATATTTTGTTGCTTGCACACTCATTAGTACTCTTCCATGTCTAGCAAAATGCACTAACGTTATCTTCCAGCCTTCGTAGATCGTCATCACATATGAAAGTCAAGTCCAGCAAATAGATCATAACCATTTCTCTCTAGTAACGATATCCTGCAATTTTGTTTCATCCAATTAAATTATTATTAATTTAGGTGCCTCATTGCTCTACATTGAAGACAACATACACAAAAACTTGACCTAAATAAATAGCTCAGATGGGCACGCCACAAGAACTGAACAATATATATTCAGTTTTATAGCCATGCAATTCAAGGCTTTCTCTCTTGAATTAATAACGCTGTCAACCGCAGACATGAGAGCGATGTTCGTTACAAGCATACGGCCTCACAAACCAATGGTGGACAAGAGCACCTACATTGATCTGAACATTTATTTTAATTAAATTATTTCGCGCTCGTTCAGTTATTTAGATCCGTTTCTTCACGTGCTCATCCTTTGAATTGTTCAACTGTTCGAAGTTTAAGCGCATAAATTAAAAGCAGCAATCAGACTGAAGTTTTGGTTCACTGTACGTAGCAAAAAAATTTCAATTAAGCTTGAAAATATTTGGCGATCATAGAGCGCCTGGTCTTCTTACTAATTACGATCTTAATATGCAAGGGGGCAATTATGCATTAATTCTGTAACTGCATTAGCAGTTATAGAATTTTTTTTCGCTGCAGCTGTCTCATGACGCGATCCCCCTTACAAACAAAATAAATTTAGCACCTGAGGCTTTGTAAATAAAATGCAAATTGTTACATAAAATGGAGATTGGAGAAGGTTAAGCAAAAAATTAAAATTATTGAAAAGGAAAAATATATGCATAGAAGCTTTTTTTCGGAGCCTGCTTAACTGCAAAAGTGCCCAATAACGAACTCTAATCTGCAACAGTAACTGGCTTCTTATACGAGTCTTTGCACTGTCACAATCGATGCTAAATTTACATCGCGACGTCGTATTTATTTGAAAGAACGTTTTCAAAAAATAGTTTTAGGAGCTTTATTGATGATTTTTAGAATTAACTTCTATTTTTGCAACACTTCTCTTTAACTTCACTTCTTGTGGTTTGTTTGTTTGTTTGTCTGCTACAAATCTTATAATCGATATTTAACACACTTCTACCTCTCTAATCGATCTAAAATTTTGCACACTTGTGTAAAATTGGAGACAATGCATGAATCAAATGTCAAAATAAATGATTTTAAAAATTAAAAAATTTTTTTTTTAATATTTAAAAAATAGAAAAAATAATTTTGTCAGCTACAAATCTTATAACTGATAATTGATAAACTTTTACCTGTCTAATTGATCTGAAATTTTGCACACTTGTGTGAAGTTAGAGGCAAGGCATGAATCAATTAATCCCGTGGAGCAATTTTTAGGCGGAATGTCAAATTTTAAAAATTGAACTCGAGAGAAATGTTAGAATTAGCTTTACATTTCAAGCAAACTCTGCCAAGAACATGCAAACTTTCACCTACAAATTTTTTCAGCAAAAAAATTCTACCATTTTTTTTAATTCCCTACACACAAAAGCTCTCACGTAATTCACGCAGAGCCTTGATCTAAGCTGCGTCGAATATCACACCCTGTCGCATTATACAGCACGATTCACTTTATCGCAAGCTTCAATAATGATACAAGCTGACAACACGTTATTTCTGCAAATTCTACAGGATGCACCAAGCAATATCTCCCTCCATCTTGAAGCCTTAAGAGATACTAAAGTCCCAAGGAAACAGCAGTTCGTAGCGCAACACCTCTCTCTCGAAACAAAGCCTTTTCACTTTTTAATCAAAGGCTGGAACTATCATTTGTCCAGCCTTCCAACACACGAAAGAATCAAAAGATCGAGTGCTCGTGTTCGTGGGATCTTTTATATCTCGACCGACAGGGCCAACGCCATTAAATCCAGCACAAAATATTACGCAGTTTTTAACCATTCACCACACCTGCTGACCGTGAGCAATGAAAAGATATTAATGTGAGTGATTTGCGTAAAAGAGCGAATGGTTTCCTGGCAATTATCTTGATTCAAGAACGATTTATGTTTCTTTATTAAAAAAAACAGCATTTATGAACTGGCGAGTCATTCTTTTGGCGGCTCAATGGACTCTCCGCACTCTGCAATGCTTGTGTACGAAAGGTGTTTCAAGGAGACCTATTTAGTTGGGAAATTAAGTACTTAAGGAAGGGCCGAGTGGGAATTCTTGCTCAGTGCAGTTTTGTCCAGAAAGTTCACTCGCAAGCGTAAGTTCAGAAGCCTGAGAGAACTTTGCTAGCGCTACACCTTTGTTTACGGGGGATTTAGATTCTGATGAATCGGACCATCTAAGATTCTTGTGCCTTGAATCCAAATATTTCTACTTATTTTACAGCGAGCAAGCGATGAGAGCCTACCTCAATGCTTGAATTCTTTAGATGAAACTCTTCGAGTTTATGTACAGCTCGACTTCTACTTCGATGCAACTCACAGCGTATTTTAAAATTTAAATGCCTGCCACAAATTTCGGATAATTTCGATGGATGAATACTCAACCGTAATTAAGGTACATATACTGTACCAAGAATATAGTTCACGATTCAACTGTTTAAACTTTAAACTTAAAACCAATTGGCGTTTCAGAACGACTCAATTCTGCAATTGATCTACTGTGATTGTTTACAATTTTCATCAAGACCTTCCAGTGGATATTATATTTATGATGTTTTATACATAGAGGTCAAGGTCCAAGCAATAGAATTTTATCCAGATTCCATTTCTATACAAAACTGTAGCGAATACACAGGAAGTTTTAAGCAGCGAGAGATTTAATTTGAAAGGAAAATGTCGAGGGCATAGCCTGATTGCAAGTAAATAGCAGAATTTAAGACACGTTGATTCGTGCATTTCGATATTCGTAAATTCTTTCTAGTTGCATTCTTACGACAGTTGAACACATAAAAAAATCGTCGGGAGAGTGAATGGGAAACAGGCTAAAAATTCAAGCGGTTTTCTATAGTTATTCTGCATTCATTGACCATACAAATTTAGATTTTCCTTTGCGACCTTGGTCTGATTAAAATCTAATTCGGAGACCATCCAGACCTAGAGAGGAAAGAGTGAAAAGGTCGAGTCTCATTGACGTTCTCAAGGAAACGTTTTCCACGTGTTCTCAAAGAAACTGAAACACTTAGTTTCATTAAGTGTATTATGCACCAGATGGAAATTAGATACGTAGCAGTAACAGAAAGAATCAGAAGATATTTTTCACATATTTTTACCTCTAACCATGCTAAGTATATGATGTTTATATTATGATGCCTACATCATTCATTGAACTGCTACTACTACTACTTACCGTAAGAAGTTTTTTACCATGTTTCGAATAAATTCTACCTGCCCATCACAGCGTGGTTTTTGATGAAATTTCTACGTATTTGTCCTGCGTAATTTTTTCTCGACTACAAACAATTAGGGTGAAAACAATTTCCGAAGCCCTCAATAATTCATCTTCAGTTACCCATAATCTTCGTATAATTTGTGCAGAACACAGGCGCAGATTAAATGGCTAAATACGTTGGTTTGGCAGGGCTAAGTTTAGTAGAGGTTAGTGTTATATACTGTATATGCCTAGCAGGTATGACGGAAGACCGATTGCATTTCCTTAAATAATTTTTGACCAATCACAGATGATGCTCTTTTACTTATTATTATTTACAATAAATTTAGAATCTAACCCTATAATTCGTCTCTATTTTTATTTTATGAATAATTCAAGAAATCTCATTATACTGTTACATTGTTTTGTTAATTGAGAGACGAACATTAATCGCTAGGACGAACATGGTTAACTGGGTTTGTCAGGCTGCGGGGCAGACTTGATAGTATATCATTTTACTGTATCCTATGTCATTATTGACTTTTAAGTGTTGATAATGCCGCCATAGGTCAACAATAATTTTCTGATTATAGCAATGTCACTTTTTTGCGTCAAAATAGTGTCAACATACAAAATAATTTGCGTAAAAACTAAAGTTTTCTTCATAATGTTTTTATAGTTGAGTTACTTTTGAAAAGTGTCCTCGGCCTTGTGTGGTCAGTCCATGTGAAACTTTTGTAGACGGAGCGTACAGATTCATAGTGACTGCATTGCAAGATAGAGAGACTTCAATTCACGCTGAGTTAGCAGCTATGTAGTATTGTATGCACAACCTTACCCATTCTAAGGAGCTTTTCTTGCAGAAACACGAAGAGGCAAAAGAAGCAAGCCGTTTAGACGCAGCTCTACATGCCAAGTGATTGAACGCTCTTCAG